TATTTTTTTTGGATCGCCGACCTCTGAACGCAGCTATGCGAATCTATATTCTAGATCTAGATTCGAGCTAATCAAATTCTTTTGTCTGAAAGCTGAACTGAATGTCCAAATTATAAAACACAACAAGGGCCGGCCAATGTTCAGCCCTTGTTGTTCGGCCCAATATTTTATTAAAGCTCCCGAATTTTTCTAAATCTTAATAATTGTTCTCGTTTTTATAAATCTATACAAAAAAACTCAAAAAAAAAATTTTTACCTTAGACCCCAAATATTCAAGGATGGGCTTAACACAACTTTGGACGAATTGGAGTACCAAAATGTCTTTGTAGCCCTTTAAATATGTTTAGATCAGTTAATTTTATTTCATTTTATAATTTTAGCTGGATTTTAACGTTTTAACCTTTTGTTGGTGATAGTTTTAATTATGCAACTATGATAGTAGCTCATCAAAATATTTCTCGATCTTAGTAGCTCAACACATTTTTGTTGTCATGATAATTTAGCATTTATACATCGTGATGCATTTTATATAGGAAGATTAGCTAGAATAACCTACTTTTTTTAAAAAAATAATTAGAATAACTTTATTATTTTTTTATTGTTGAAATAACCTATTATAGATTTTTTTCTTTCATAATACCAAAATTGTCCTTCGCAGACTCTGCCGAGGTATTGGCAGACTCTGCCGAAATATTGGCAGACTCTACCGATGTATTGGCAGACTCTGCCAATATCTAATAATACGCAGACTCTGTCAAAACATTGGCAAATTCTGCCGAACATTGGCAGAGTCTGCCAAACATTGGCAAACTCTGCCGAAACATTGGCAGACTCTGCCGAAACATTGGCAGACTCCGCCGAGGTATTGGGAGACTCTGCCGAGGTATTGGCAGACTCTGCCGAATCATTGACAGACTCTGCGGAAACATTGGTAGACTCTACCGATGTATTGGCAGACTCTGCCAATATCTAGAAATACGCAGAGTCTGCGTATGTTTCGGCAGAGTTTGGCAATACCTCGACAGAGTTTGCCAATACCTTGGCAGAGTCTGCCAAGGACAATTTTGGTATTATGAAAGAAAAAAATACAGAATAGGTTATTTCAATAATAAAAAAATGGTAAGGTTATTCTAACTATTTTTTTTTTAAATAGGTTATTCTAGGTAAATTTTTCTTTTATATAGGGAAATTAGGTGAGATACTAGCCTTTACACCTATAATTAATTATCTAACATCAAATAAAATATAATTGAGTATCTAACATTTATACCATTTAAAGTTCCGATTTTAGCCTTATCAATTTACTATGTTTGTTTTTTTTACTTTGGTATTAAAAAAAGATTGAATCACCAAATCTTAAAAATAGGAAAATTAATCTCTACCCTAATCTTTCTCTGCCCTCATTTCTCATGCGGTCAGCATCTTCCAATTTTTTTTTCTAGCAA